GGCACGGAAAGTCAGCGTGTACAGTCACGGATAACACGAAAAAGCCCAGACCAGCGCGTGTCCGTTTGCCACGCTATATCTATATAGGAAGAGAGGTCAACCGTTGTCGATATTTTTTTTATCGTCGTCACTCTCTGCTTGACCGGCTGTTGCTGAGTTAATAGCGGATTTTAGTATTGTGGATAAGCATGGGTGCCTGGAGCGCGTCTCTGACTGTTGTGTTCAGCGTCCTATCTCGCCCGTATACATCAAAAGTTCCGAAGTGGCGACGCAGAGGCCGGACTGTCATGCCGTCGCATGTCGCGATCCTGGCGGTCGGTCGTACAAATGCCGGCGAAAAGCCCGAGCAAACGTGAGTGCCGCTGTCGTCGCGGCGTCCCTGTGGCTGCCGAAGCTTCCGTGGAATGTCGCGCTGGAGAGTGATCTATAGCACAACAGGCGTCTGCCACATCCACAACCGCAGCTGGGACACCGCTAGGATCGTGACAGGCGACAGCATGACACCTCTATGACGTCACTAGGCGGAAATCGAGAGACCACAATTTTGGAGGCGCTAAACACACCAGTCGGAAACGCATTCCAGGCATCGTAGCGTAAGAGCAAACGGTAGCAATGTGCGTTTTCGCTATAGAGTTGCGTGCCCCACGCTGCGCATGTGCGTCGCCTGCAAGCGCCAACTTAAGACCGCAGTTCGGGCTCCGCGCAGGCGCAGTATAGGACACGCAGCGCTAACGCAAATACACAGTACTTGCGTCCGCTCGTATACGTAATACTAAAACTGCAGATAGTACTAAATATTTTTCATTTATTTGGTAAAGTTATGCGGAGAACAAGTTCGTCTGCTTCTTTTGCAGGGGTTGTGCTGACGTCAGAACGCCGAGCGCTGATTGGCTCTGATTGAAGGATATATGGGTAGACCTCGAAGCAGCTTTGTTTGAGGTCTACCCACTATTCTTTATTCAGAGCCAATCAGTGCTCGACGTTTTGACGTCGCAACAACCCCTGCAAAAAAAGCAGACGAACCTGCACTCCGTAAAGTTCTGGTCATATCCTTTCACACCGTCGATTCCGTATCAAATGTTTTTGCTTCATACAAATCTGCTTTAAGCGTAAAATATTATATAGATGAAAAAAATAGAGGTTATTTTATACGTGCGGAGTGGGCCCTTGTATGTTTTGTTCAGTAGATTTGATCGAGCAACGATTGAAAGTTGTAAGAACGTACAACCACCGCAATAGACCGATCCCACAGCCCGTTTTATTAAGCCACCGCTGCCGCCATGCATCGCGGGATATGTAGTCTTTTTGCACGCGCGACAACCTCTTTGAGGGAGAGCGCGAGGCGGCACGAGCTGTCTCGTGCTCTGGCGCCTGCCTACTATGAACTACAAATATGGCGGCGTCACGCATGCGTGGAACGCTAAGTGAGATCGGTCTATTGGCGGTGACTTTTTCCGCGGTGTATACCCAGTGGGTAAGAACTGATATAAACGATGGCGCCACCGGTGTAGAGTAAGAGAAACCGTTCCGTTGGGGGCATACGCAAGCATTACCACAATATCGTGGATCGTAAGAGGCGTGTTTCGTCGTCCTATATGGTAATGCAGCTCGAAAGGATATCTTACCTTTCGTCGAAATCATCAGGGGTGCGGTGAAAAAAGAAAAAGTTGTCGGAACAAGACCAGAAAGTAGGCCTAAATTCCACTTGGACCCAGCGCATTACCCGGCAGGGGCACTCGCACCCTTCGCGCGGGCGTGGTTGCGAGCTTCGAGGCCTTGAAAACGTGGGGGCTATTAAGGAGCGTTCCTTGAGCTTCTGTCATGCTGCACCATCTCTTGGTGTTTTGTAGCGTTAGCTACACTGGCCGAGGTTGAGCAGTTTTGCGTGGCCCTCATAATGGAGCCGTGCTCATTATGTGGAACGTGCTCATTATGCGGAGCGCGTGGTGGTGGCGGCGGCGGTGGAGCTCCGCATAATGAGCACGGCGCACAGCACCACGCGCTCCGCGTAATGAGCACGGCTCGCATAATGAGCACGGCTCATTATGAGAGCCACGCGAAGCCGCCGCCACGCGCCCCGCCGCCGCCGCGCCCGCCTCGCCGGTCTGCGCATTCCAGAGGAGTGACGTCATCGCCACGGCAGACGCACTGACGCCGCCGCGTGCCCAGCTGTGCGCCTCCGTTGCGCAGTAGCCAGGTCTGACGCTACACCGGAGCCGCTTGATAGCGCCTCTCATTTTGTGCACATAAGCTCACGCTACGTATATCCTGGCATAGCCGAGCTAATACCACCGCAATTTATTTCGAAAATGGAGAGAGAACCTTTGACACACTTTCTTTGTGGCGAGGGGGTGCCGTTCAGACCCCTCTTCCTTCTTCCACCGTGATCCAGGAAGACCTAAAGCGCTAACGTACGAGAGAAAATGTCGAGTAAACAACATACGCACGGAGATGTTAACAAAATAGGTTTAATGAACGGTCGACATTCAGGTCTAATTACAGGATTTTTGAACATGGCGTCGGCAGCAACGCGACGCAATAATAAAGACAATTATAATAATAAAAGAACGGTAATATTACAAAACAAGGTGAAAATGGCACGACCGTAGGTATACTACTACACATTAATCCACGCACATAGAGAAATCGCAAGCACGCTTTGAAACATTGCTGAAAAGAGATGAAAACATCACTGTTGCTTAAACAAAAACAAAATTTAAAAAAGAATAAAAAAATAACAAAAAACAAAACAAAAAACAGCCCGCTTTTTGTCAGCGTACGACGAAAACAGCGGCCGATTAAATGACAACAAAAACAACATATCAACAACGATTGTATAACTGCGAAAAAGAGGTATGTACGAACATCGGTTCTTTGTATCTTTGGCTCTTTGATATGAGGTTGCTTACCCCTCGCATTCAACGCTAGGTTGGCGCAGGGGCGTGCGAACCGTCCAGTGGTATACCGCGACACGCTTGAAGACAGGGGGGGTCGCAATCCGCCGGTTCTCACCGGGCAAACATTTTCGCGGCCAACTTTGTTGGCGGACATGGGACGAAGACCTCGTTGGCGGCCCGGTGGCGACGCATCAGTTGTTGCAACCGTTCTCCAATAAATTTTGTTCGCTGCCAATCAAGAAAAAAAAAAAAAAAACTGCCGAAGCGATGTAATTATTGGCACCAAGGTGTTTTGTCGTGTTCGCCAACAGAGTTTGTCAGATGTGCGCCTGGTGGGACCCCGACAATCACAGGGAGCTGCAAACACAGTATTTTTTTTACTAGCGTCAAATATTGACCTATCACCACGGGCGTGAGAACACAAAGTGGCGGAGAGACTAGGAATGGTGACTGAGTGACATATGGAAATAAGAGAGGGAGGGAAAGGGGGGGGATATATGTATTTATATATGTAACGGGTGTACATGGCGGCAACAGAAGGTGAAACAGGGTGGCGAGAGATGGCTGCACTACTCAATCGACGCAATAAATATGCTATGCAACATAGAGATATGTACACTGGGAAACCAAGAAGGTTATACATCAGTTTGATTATGCGGACCGTAAAATTAAAAATACGTATTTATACATATATTAAGCGTCGCTCGTTATTATTATGTACATAATATGACAGGCTCTTCTCCGTAAGCTATGTGTATTCACTTAGATATCTTTTTTTTATACATATAATTCAGTCAAAGTAGACGATAAGGGCCCGTTCACACTGCGACCTCTTAAAACTGGGTTCCTTGAAACCTCTTACAACGAGAGGACACACTGGCGCCATCTATTGGGTAGCAGTGTAAACTTGGCGGTCCTGCATATTTTTTATTTCTCTCGTGCATTATCCTTTCTTTCTTGGCTCGAAAAATTTTTGTCAACATTATGAACGAGCCTTTCTTAAAAGTAGTACGCACATTTGACCTCGGAAATCCCGCAAAACCTTTGCTCTTGTGAAATGCAGTTCCAGGGCCACCGCACAGATGGCGCCAGCGTGCCAGTGTATTCTCTCGTCCTAAGACATTTTAAGGGGTTTTAACAAGTCTCGTCCCTCTCGGTCGTACTCGGTTGCAAGAGTGTAAACGGGCCTTTACAGTCATCGACTACTCAAGAAACGTAGGGCGCGACTTTTCGTATTCACGCTTTTCTGTTCGTGATTGGTTATTTGGTGTTCTTATCGACTATCGTAGCAATATCATTGGTTGGCTGCAGAGCGATGAGTACATGCTTACGGCCACGCCCTGCCTTTCTGAAGTTGTTAGTCACTCTAGATTGTGCAAAGCGTTCGCCAAGGTTTTCATTTTAGGAATCGTAACTTCTGTCTTTTTTTCCCCCCTCTATCCGGGCGAGGGTGATAAATTCAATCGTTGTTTAGGATTCCATTTGCTAGGTCGACATCGAGAACCAGAGTTAGTTTCGTATTTTGTTCAGTCGCTGGTTGATCGCCGGCGGAGAGGACTCTTTGGGCCACCGAGCAAGAAAACTTTGGATTTTGTTACACTCGGCATCTTGCTCTAAGAGAATCTTTTTTTTTCTTCTTTCTAATCAATAAAGGGAATCAAAGATAGACAACAATGAGACGTAAGTTGAACCGCAGACGAAAACAGAATCGAAGGAGCGTAGCTGGATGGCATTTTGTGGCGGGCATCCTTTCGTATAGGGGGCAACACTTGATTGCGCACAAGTATAGCTTGTGTGTGTGTCTTGTGCGTTTACGTGCGTGTGTGTGGGTGTCTGTCTGTATGTGTGTCTGTGTGTGTCTGAGTATGTTCAAACCTCTCTCTTTATATTTATATATTAATTTTTGAACGTCGTCATTCGGCATAATATTCTTAACTCTGGGGAGTCTGGCTGTACAGAGGCAGAAAGGGGCAGGCTAGAATACGTGTTTTTGATTTTCTCCAAAGCGAGTTTTTTTTTTTAGTTGTTGTTTCGCAGTATATATTTTTTTTCTTTGGCAGAAATAGAGAAAGATGGAGATAAAGAGGTAGAGTGAGAGAGATATTTGGGGTCGGAGGAGGAACCATATCTCGTTCTTCTGACGCATTTGCTTTCTTTTTCCGGAGTTCCTAGAGATGAGATTTGTTCTTGCGAGACCATCTTCAGAGAAGTTCGTCCGAGAAGGATTCCTGTCGGGAAGACAAAACAAATGTTTTGAACAAAATTTTAAATAAAAGGTAAAAGTTGAAGCGATTTTCTTGCACCCACCTCCCCGCGCACCAATTAATTGAAAAGACACTTCACCCGCCCGGAGAGCTGGAAATCGCGTTTTGAGATAGGTTTTGTGCTCCAGGGTTCTTCCGTAGAAATTCCGCTATACATTCTCTTTTTCAATCTTTTCTGCCATAAAAAAAAACCTCTAAAAGCTAGGTTTTTAGAGTTTTTTTTCTTTTTCTTGCCGCTAGGAAACTAGAACCCTCAATATTTGTTGAACGTCAACATCCCTTTGAAAATTGTACTTTCTGTTTAACGTCCTGTCGAAATTACTTTCCCGTCACCCTGGTCATCTGAACACAATATCCCCTACAAACAAACAAACAAAAAAAAAAAAAGGAAAAAAAAAGACAGTGTTGTGTACGTTTTCTTTCCCCATCCCTCCCATTCCTTCCTCAGTGTTCGTCACTATATGCCTTAACCTGCATTTATACTTTTCAGAGGACGACAATAAATACCCGTCGTCTCTGAAAGGATGAAAACGACAGGGTTGCTCGTTGCCTTTGGCCGTGCTTTGGTTGCGCGATCGAGGACGCTCGAGGACCATGAGGCGCCGAAGGGTTATGGAAGGGCTTGCGCTGGGAGGCGGGACAACTGAAAGGCCTCCCTGCCGTTCTCACTCTGTCGACGACTGTAGCTCGAGTGAAATATATACCTCTGCTTCACGTGACAGTTGCTGAGCGGGTGCTGACGATGAGATTTCTCGACGCTTTCGTAACTTCAAAAACCATCACAGATCTATTCGAAGGTTCTTGGCAGACGAGAAGCTCGCGCTAAGTATTAATTGTACCATAGCCTCCTATATACCGACGAAGCCTGGCAGATCGCCACTAGAAGCGGCCGCCGAAATGGAAAAAGGTGGAGCGGCAGACAACGGATGAGAGGAGAGCCACGTGACTGGCGCCCCGCTGCGGCGAGACGCCGAAACACTCTTCTCCCGTGCGAACAAGTGTGTTTCGGGTTCTCGCCGCTGCAAAAGCTGTGTGCTGTCGTCCAGATTTTCCGAGAGATGGTTCTTTGAGGCCCTGTGCTACCAGATACTCGCGCTCCAAATCCGCTACCGGGCACTCTATGGCTTCGTTGAACTGCCAGGCTTTGTGAGTATAGAGGATCCTATGACTGTACGAATCATGCACCGGCTCGACCGTTTTGTTGTTAGCTACGAGTTATAGTCTTCCAAGACCGACGAGTTCGATGGTCGCAAGAAAACGCCGACAGAACCCGCTCTTGGCAGGCGTCCAGCAACACATAACAAAATGGCGGAGGAGATCAGACACATTGATTGTTTAGGCGCGTGGCAGCTTTACTTCCTGTTAGAGTCGTTTCTAGTGCACTCTACTTCTATTGGATGAAGTTTTCAATTAATGGACGCTCATTAGCGCCGCGTGACACGGTATCCCACTGCTTTAAAGAGTCGCTTCCGGCTCTTGTGTTGCGCGCGGAAATGGCTTCCTGTCGATTGACTGTATACATGGCTTACAATGACGTCACATCAGCAGCCATTGTGGAGGTCTTCCTACCCCACAGCATTTCTTTTGCGCTGCAGAACCCAGGGATCCTGGGTTCAATCCCCACCCCTGCCCGTTTCGATCTGGATGAGCATCGTACCGGTGTGCGGTTCTGTACCACGTACTACTGCGTGGTGCATGTTAAGGACCCCAGGCTAGCGCTTGTACTGCATTGGCTAAATTTCTCATCTACAGCGAGTGACTCGTCACAACTTTGAAATGGCTGACCAACGACACGCTGTCTAAATATCAACACAACCCTAATTATTAATATTATTGAATCCACGAATTTGTTTTTGTTGGCAAGAACAAGCATAAATGACCTACACCTTCGTACGATGACGTCATGTGCAAGTCATGTAAACGGTAAGCAGATTAGCAGACTACCTGTGGGCTGAAGGAAGATCTGTCGTCGTCGCGCCGTAGCAGACTAACGGCCACATCCTCTCCGATGGCGGCCGGAGGTGCGCTCCTCTTGCCCAGGTCCTTGAGGATCTTGTCGTTGGCCTGGATCTTGTTCTTGATGCTCCGCTCAATGATGTCCTGCATCATCTTGTCGCGGAGCACGTCGAGCGGGCTCACGATCGACAGCGACGGCATGTGGTCCCGGCTGTGCATGCTGAGCGACGGCACGGGACCCCTGCTCCGCAGAGACAAAGGGCCACGCTTCCAAAGGTCGGACAGGTCCAGGCTCGCCTTGGAGCCTCCCAGGCGGGCCCCCAAGGCCGCGTCCGTCACCAGCAGCGCCAGCAACAGCCAGGGCCGCAGCAGCGGATGGGAGGATTGAGCACACCTCATCGCCACCGCAGCACTCTGTTCGGGGAGGAGTCTAGAAGACTCTGCGGGCGTACCGGGAACGCGTCCTCTGCACACAGATACAAAGAACAGTTGATGAGTTACTTTTTTGTTTGTTGCCAGAATGGTTGATTTACGAAGTGTGAGACTGAGACGGCGAGACTCACTTTCTGTCATGCCACGCGCGTTATGGTAAGTACATCTTGACTTTAGAAGCCAGCTTGTATCAAAGCGGGACTTTTGCAGAGGATCTAGCATAATGTTTCAAGATTGTGAACGTTTTAAACAATATGGTTACCGTATGTTACGAACGTTTGACCGAACGTTTTCTCTTTTTCAAAGCTAAGAGTCGTGCAGTTTTTTTTAATGCACAAGCTATATTTAGAGCCGTGGAAACGCGAAGCGGTGGTGGGTATAGACGCACGGTTTCAGCAACGACATTTTAAATTTTCTCGGTATTTTTTTTCTCAAAAACAGCCAACTGCAACCTGGCCTTTATCTTAGAGATGCTTTGCACTTGCAGATGATTGCATCTTGGCCTTACGTCCAACCTTAATCTCACATGCCCGTCTCTTGCACGGCAGAAAACAGTGGGAAGAGTTCTCACGACCACAGCCGGTCCAGATTCCCCAGGAAGTCGTACGCAAATCCGCGAGATGGCCACCCCTCAAAACAAAAATGCTAGCAACAACCGTAAACAGCAAAAAGAAATATTTGTAACTTGTTTTAATTAAAATAAACGCAATACTGGGAACTGGGTTTCTGGACTATTCGGCCCGTTCGATTTCCTCTCCAAGTTATCAATCGGCGACGAATTTCTTTCGCATCTCAGCGGGGGTGCGCGTGGCGCGCCGGGCACTCCAAATGGATTTTCCCTTTGTGCGCTCGTCGTAGGGAAGAGCACAAAGAGGGCCATTGTGCAGACTTCTCGGGTCTCCCGTTTCTTCTCCTCCGACACGCACTTTCCTCCTAAACGCTCGCACGCGACTAGAAGACCAAGAAGAGGCAAACCAAATTCTCGAACGGAAAAGTACGAGTATCAGGGAAGTCAATCGACAGTAGAGTCTGGCGCTACAAAACTTCTCGCCGTGTTTTTGTTACTTGTTCTATCCAAATCTTTGTTCGCTTTTTCGCTTGGCGCGCGGGCGTGCGCCAGAGAGAATTTTGACGCGTCCGCTGTGGCCGTCTGTTGTTGAGGGAGACATTGATCAACGGTTGCGCCGTCTCGTGGCAAGCATCCTTTTAAACGCGGGCGGGCCCCTTACGTGGTCTGCTTTCGGAAAATGGGGATGGCTGCGAAGCAAGTAAAGGTTATAATGAAAGAGAGAGAGAGAAAATGAAAGAAGGTAAGAGCGCGGCGTGCCTGGTCTTTACTTCGATCCGATGAGCGAATGCAGAGCTGACTGTGAATGACTGATTCTTTTTATTCATACGTCACGAGATAATGTGACAGTGACTGAGTTTCTTTCCTTGCTTTTAAGAATAAGAAGGAACAAATCGGGAAACAAAAAGATGAGAGAAATAGTGCGAAACTTAGAGAGAAAAACAGGTCAAGGTCTCGGGTGGTGTTACCACACTTTAAGAAGCCGCTGACAGTTTCGAAACGGTAGAGCGCCTCCTCTGATATCCTGCACGTTTTGGTTGCCGTCCTCTGTGCTTTGGCTGCACGCGCACGCTCGAAGCCCACGAGACCCCAATGCATTATCGAAGGCAAGAAGCTCGCGCTGGAGGAAGAACAGTCAAATACCTCATTGTCGTTCTAGTCATGTCGGTGACCACAGTAACACAGTCCTTACAGCAGGTACTAGTGACTGGCCTAAGAACAAACGCGTGTACGCCCAAGAGAGTAGCTGTGGTGGGCTTTCCACGATTGGTCAAACGCTCACTGTGACGTCTCTGATAGAATCCTGTCTGCTTTCATCGACAGAGGTAAGATCAACGTCAGATTTTCAATTCTGGTGTTGGTGTGAGAATGCGGTGATTTTAAGCTTCCACTGTGTCTTTTGGGCTACCGGAATTAAAATTCGTGACGTCAAGGCGATGAAAATTTTGGTTATGAGGTCACAAATAGGAACCACAAACCCGGGGTCCCACTGCTCAGACAACATACAAAAGACAGTCTGCAAACACGAGTCTCAATCCAAACACGAGTTCCAACGTTTAACGTAAAAAAACGGGTCTGTGTGAACCAGCCTTTAAAGGAAAGCGATGAAGATACAACTAACGCTAGAAAAAAGAAAGCAAAGAAAGTGGAACTGTACCATCTTCTTCGGTTTTGGTCAGCTTCTAAGAATAGAAATAAGCCACACAAGCGCTGGTTAATTATCTTACTAAAACTCGTTCATTTTCCTAATACCGCTTCGATACATATAGTGTGTGTGTATGTGTGTGTGTATTTCTGTGTGTGTGCGTGTGTGTATGTTATGCTGTTTCTAGCTTTTCTACCCCGTATGCTCTCTAGCCCCCAACCATACTTCCCCCTTACGCAGGTTGCCTTCTTCGTGTTTGTGAATAGAAACTAATTTCTCTTTTTTCCCTGTGTCTCTCTCTCTCTCTCTCTCTCGTGTGACCTTAAGTAATTTCCCAAGTTACGTCGGACGCCAGAGTACGTCCCGACATGGCAAAATTTTCTCGCGAGTTTGTCTGATTATCGTGGGCTAGCGGCGAGTCAATATTTACGCAGCGGCTTAAAGCTCTTATTAGATGCTGCTCCCGAAGGAACTAGTTGCCTGGGAACCCAAACACGTGGCTCCAATCTATAACGTCCCGTCAGCAAGATTCAAGTTAGTATCTTCGGCGCGGGAAGCGGGAAGACCGAGAACCCACACATCGAGTGCCTCCTCGCGTTGGAAACTTGAATAATTTTCGAGGTGTCCTTAGAGTAAACCACACGAAGTTAGTGATGTCACACGCCTGGTTGTAATTGTGCGACAAACAACACGTAAAAGAGGTAAAACAAATATTGTTTTAGAGTAAAAAAAAAAAAAAAAAAACACTGCGCGTGCGCAGTGTTTTCTAAAGTTGGAGCACACGAGCTCAGTGTTTTTCCGTGACAGCGCAGTCCCGGAGGAAGCTAAACAACTGCCCCTTCACCTATAGCACGTGGGGATGGTGGATTTGTCTGTGCTACGTCACAAAGCCATTGTTCGGCTGATGTCAGGATAGTGCTTCCATTAGAAAATAGAGAGATCGCGTGTTCCGTACATGTTTAGTGAGCACTGTACTTTTCTGCAGTTAACACCCCTTCTTAAACACAAACGAACTACGTTTAGACCCGAGAAAGAAAGCTGTAATATGACAGTGGGAATGACGCGAACATGTAAAACGACAAGCTCAGTGTCGCATCTCGAAATTAATGTTTTTTGAAAACATTTTCCAGGCCGCGTCGTTGGATCATAATAATAATCATCTTTATTTTGATGTGTTCACAAATAGCACTAAGCCTAAAACGCAGTACACTGTCATAAAAAATGAATAAAAAAACTTGTACAAAGTAGAAAATAAAACAAGTAAAGTCATAATCATGCACTCATTATAGTGGCCCGATTGCACGTCAAAAATTGTTCATGTCAAAACAAAATAAACATATATTACAGACTTGTCTAGCTTGTTATATCCATATAGAATTCTTGTAACTAGCCAGTCTAATCGGTAATATATAATTTTGGCACACAGGGGGGGGGGGGGGGGGGTACGAACTACTTTCGGTGGAAAGTTTTGCGAATGCGTAGGCTGTTTTTTGAGCAACCGACGGATGAGAGAGCAAGCTTGCTCGAATAATTAGCGCGTCCCCTGAAATAAGGCACGTGTAGATCGCACCTCAAAATGCTTGTCAAATTTTTTTTTATCTTGTTTTAATTTACAATTTTATATAGACCGATGTGACTGTGCCCGCGACAGCGTTCGTGAGAAAAAAAAAATCAGCGAGCGCCATGACACTCGACCGGGACGCGTCCTAAAATATTTTATTTTACTCCCAAGGGGCGTTCCAGGCTTGGCAGTGGTTTACTCCAAAGTGTCTCGAATAACACGCTGTTTCAAACAAGCCGACCTATAGCCCCCATTTTACCCGCTGTATCAGGTGTTTTCAAAGAAAAACTTTTTTTTTTTCTGTTTTTAGGTTTGCGTTTATAAACTGCGCATCGCAGGAAGCTGAAAGTCCGTGCAAATGTGATGCTGGCGGTTGAGGTGGAACGCGAAAGTTCGAAAACGTGACGTCACCTGGATCAAAAGACGAAAGGAAATGACAACCTTTATCTATGAGCCGACGTCCACCTAAGCCTAATATCGTCAAAACAGGAACTGACGATGTTCACGCATGTGGCATTAGTATCAGTAAAGAAACACTTGGGCGGAAAAAAAATATAATTTTGTTTTCTTCCTTGCTGGCAGTCTTCCTTTTTTCAATAAAGTAAACTCTAAAGGTGGCCACAATATTTCTTGAAGATATTAGCGGTTTAGAAACCCGGATCACAATGCTTACACGTCATACAGAAGACAGTCTGCATACAGATCCGACCGCGACTCACCGCGAGATCCGTGCTTCGAATGCCGTATGGCAATGACTTCAAGAAGGAAACTTGGCACGCGGCATTCGAACCACCCGTGACTTGTGTTTGGTGTATGAGCAGTATGACCCCAACTATAGGGAGACTTGTCTTGTTTTTTCTCTTTTATTTACCGATGTAGGTAACATCATGTCCTCAAACTTTCGCGCTCTGTCCAACGTTATTAGAATAACAATATTAGGTTAGTAGATTAATAAGACTCTAATAACGTTGGTTCTGTCCGCAACCGCTATCGTCACAATCTCACGGAGTTTGGGCTTCCTGCGATGACTAGATTGTAAACCCCTTTCGAAAAGCTGCCCTCTGTTGGTCTCTGCGAAATCCCTGCACAATGGTGGGCTAAAACCGCAACGAAACGGCGTACTTTATGCGTTTGGTTGGATTAGAAGGCAAAAATGCACCCACGGACCAAGGTGATGAGATCAGTGACGTTGCACTTGCGACGCTGTTTGAATGGCTCGTCGGGTATGGTTATTATTTGAGCCCGTTCTCGTTTCGCCCT